GCCAAGGAGCGAGCCGGGGGTGGGGTGGGGATTCTTTGGGGCTCCCTCGTTTCCTGCCGGCCTTCTCAAGGGATACTTTCCCATGACAGCATTTTTGTACACGATGCTTCTCAAGGCCCTTGCCTGCACCACAGATTCTGAGGCATATTCTGAGGGAACCCCGACACTTTGGGAGAAGGCTCCCTCATATACTGGTTGGCAGCTGCCTATGGTTTAATTATAAGAAGGAAAGAGAGTAGGCTTTAGGCCTTGCCTATCGGTTATGGTGTTGTTGTTTTTTTAAATAATTAGTTGTGATTTTAAGCTTAGATGGGAAGTGCACTCTGCACATGTTCAGATGAGTTATTGTTACTGGGGTGGCCCTGGTTGGCAGAACAGCAATAAATATTTTAAACAATTAAGTGAGTGTGATGGTGATGATGATGATGATTTGCAGAGGCCTCTACCTTACAGGGGAGCATGTGATTTGCATGCAGTCAGTCCCAGGTTTTCTAGGATCTTTAGGCAGGGCTGGGGAAGGATTTTGATTGAATAGCTGGAAAGGTATTGCTACCAGTAAGAGCCAAGAATACTCGGCAGGGAACACTGATGGTTAGCTTCGTTATAAGGCAGCTTCCTATGTTCCTGTAATCGCTTCCCTTCTGGGGAAGTTCATTTGGGGTGGAGAATGAGATGTGTGTATGGAAGCCATTTGTAGTTGTTTCATAAGCTCTGTCCTGCTCATTCAGCCCTGTCAATGCAAAAAAAGGGGGGGGAGGAAAGAAAAGAAAAGAAAAGAAAAGAAGCCCTAGAACAGTGGTCCACAACCTTGGGCCTCCAGCTGTTCTTGGGCTACAACTCCCCAAAGCTGTCACCACCACCTCTTCTGGCCAGGATTTCTGGGAGTTGAAGTCCCAGAACATCTGGAGGCCCAAGGTTGGGGACTAATGCCCTAGAAGAATCTGTTAGCAGTGGCAGCTGTTAACTCCAGTTTTGGGGTGCTGTGCATTTACCCTGGGTTGTAGTTTGCTCTGTACAGCAGCTGTCCAAGGTGCTGAACCCATTATGGTGTTCAGCACCTTTGATAGTTCTTGCATACAGACTGAAAAACAGGATGGATTCACAGCAATCCTGAAATTGGAGTCAATAGGCACTACTGCATTAAAGCAAAAAAATATTGGATGCATGTAGGGATGGGAATGACACAAGGCTGAAGCAAGTCCCAAACCTCAGAACTCACTTTGGGAATTTTTATGTGCTAACATCCTTATAAAAGGGATGTGGTGGTGCTGTGGGCTAAACCACAGAAGCCTGTGCTGCAGGTTCAGAAGACCAGCAGTCGTAAGATCAAATCCATGCGACGGAGTGAGCGCCCGTCGCTTTGTCCCAGCTCCCACCACCCTAGCGGTTCGAAAGCATGCAAATGCAAGTAGATCAATAGGGACCACCTTGGTGGGAAGGTAACAACGTTCCGTGACTAAGTCACACTGGCCGTGTGACCATGGATTGTCTTCGGACAAACACACACTCTATGGCTTGGAGACGGGGATGAGCACTGCTCCCTAGAGTCGAACACGACTGGACAAAATTGTAAAGGGGAACCTTTACCTTTACCTAGCATCCTTATGCTTTCAGTAGAAGAAGCCCTCAATAGCAGATGGTGGGAAACTTGTGGCATCCAGATGATTTGGATTATAACTGCTGCAATACCTTGTATTTGACTATGTTGGCTAGAACATTGGGAGTTCAAATCCAAAACAACTGGAGGGCCAAATGTTCCCAGTCCCTGATACAGTATATGGGACATTCATATGCACTGTGGCCGGCACAACACTTAATGCTCAGTTGTACATACTAGCAAGACTGGAGCAGATGGGCAAAAGGTCTAGAATGGGGATGAAGAACTTCCAGTTCCTAAAATGGGTATTTTTTGTAGGGGTTTCCTTCTGGCCCTCAGGTCAGAGTGTTTGTCTGTCTCGCCTGACCTACTGCAAGTTGGACGACAGCTTTTATATTTGCAGATAACTTGATGACTGGAAATTAAGGGAATTATAATCCGGCATGTTTGGAAGGTGCCCTGTATTGCTGTAATTGGCACCAGCTGCCTGGTATCTCTGTCAGAGCCCTCCATATAAAATACCTGGTTTTGGAAGAAGGGTGACCAGGGATTTAACTAGAGACTTTATGCATGCAAAATGTAGGTGTGTGATTGCTGTGCTGCAGCCCTTTCCCAGTGATATTCTTGCTTGAGAAATGCATAAGGCAACAGAGCATAATTTTACAAAGAACTGACATAGTTGGAAAGAAGTGGGTTGGCTGAATCCTTTAATAAAATAAGAAGATGGAATTGGAATAAGTTATGTAATAGTGCAAGGCTCAAGACATTCAGAATGAGAGCATTCTGTCATGGTGGGGAGAATAAGGTTAGAACGCTCCTGAGGGCTTGGCAATGTAGGCATTTGATCCGGGCGCTTAAGAATGTAGTCTGAGGCTAATATACCCATGTTTGGTGACCCCTTAGGTTCAGAATGTTAAAATAGTTCTTTCTTGCTGGAATTTCATTTGCAAATTCAATAGATAAAAACTATGGGCTTAGCTTTCAAATTTCTTTTTGAAGACATAACTGGTGCGGTATGCTATGGGGCGGTATATAAATCACACTTTTTTTTTTGCTTTGCTATATTTTAGTGGAGAAAAACAGGGATAGGAAAAGTTACTTTGGGGCTTCAGCTCTCAGGATCTCATAGTTAACATAATCCAAAAAAGTATTTTTTTTATCCTTCATTTCTAGAGATAGATGACTTCCTTTACAGATCTCCTTGTTTGACTCAGTTTAGATGTAGATTCTGTCCAACTATACCCAGCCCCTTAATTGAGAAAGCTTGGATCATTTAACACAAGAGAGCTTATCCTTGCCAGCCACTGCTACTCCCACTACACCATCTCTCCTACAAAACATATTCCTTCCTTTTCAAGCCTAGATGTGGACAGGAGCAGCCGTGGGGCAGCACAAAACCTTGTGGTGGATGATGCAACAGTAGGGGGGCAGCAGTGCAGTATTGTTCTTTGCAGCAGCAGAGAATGGCTTTCCCCTAACTTGACACCTTAATATATGTTGGAATACAACCCCCATGGTCACCTGGGAGTGGTGACAGTTGTAGTCCAACACATCTGGAGGGGGAGACTAGTTTACACAAAGGACCTCTGAAGGACTGAATCCCAGATATGTACAAAGCCACAGATGCTGTCCATCAGTTAAAATATCAGACAGGCTGGTCTGGACTGAAAAGTAGCTTCAAATATTGTCTTAAATTATCTGGTTATTAAAAAAAAATCACTGTCTTCCTAATGGACCTGTTTGCACTTTAAGAGGTTTGGAAGAACACTTCTGGTAAGGACATCCATTCCTGAGATTTGTTTAGCAGTTGTCCAGGACAGGGAGCATCCATTATGTGGAAAACTTCTTTCTGCCATCAGTTGTGGTCTGACTGTTCTTAACTTTAGGTGTATGTTTGTGGGAAACTTCTGCCTAAAGGTTGTTAGCTGTATTCTGTTCCAGTGACGTGCACACACTCCTGGGAGGAGCAGGAGCTGCCAGCGAGCGGGGTAACCCCTCATTCTGCCCTTTCACTTAGAGGTAGAGCATTAGATCGAAGAGTTTCCTCAGCCTTTTAGGTAACTAGTATCCTATCTGAATTTTCACAACATGCCATGTAACTCTTGCTAAGTCAATAAAAAGAGTTCTCAGGGCATTGCCTTGAGGCTCCGCTGGCTCAGACATCTGCTTGTCGACTCCTGTGCACTTTCTCTAAAGCGAATTGCCTTCCTTTATTCACCCACATATGTTGAAAACTTACTATCTATTTTATGAATAATAGAAATGTTGTGTTTTTTTCTTATGTATTGTTTTCTTTTGTATGTTTTATGAATTTTTAATGCTGCTTTGAGCTCTTCAGGTATATGTAGTTTCTATATTTATAAATAAATAAACAAGTTAGCCAGGACTAATATAAAATATAAAACCATTGATTTCATTGGATTTCCTGTAGCAATGACTGTGTTTAGAGCCAACCATATGATTCAGGTTGAGGAAATACAGTGTCAAAAAACCTTCCCACATGGGTTACATAGTCAGTTACTGGGATTTTAGTAGTCACATTGTTCCTTTGTGAAGATAGAGCACAAGATTGAAGGCATCATGGAGACCAGTTGTGCGAAATGATAGATTCTATACATCAACTTTTCCTGATGAGAATAGGATCTCAAGAAACTCTCTTCAAGTCTTAAATAGTGCAGTGAAAAACATCAGCAAGTTGATTTCCTCCGAGACCACGTTAGAGATAATCTATGGATTTATGAATCATTTGCACCAGCCAGGTTCTTCTGTACAGAGAGGACCATATTGTACTTTCTGGTGTTAAAGAGGAGGAGTCCTTCAGAAAAAAAAGATGGCAGCACTAATTTTTTACTAGAAGGTTGAATATACAGGGATCCAAATCCCGACTCCTATAAAATACAAAAATTATTTAGCTGTGTGATCTGTGGGCAAAATTCAGAATTCTTAAAACCACTGCAGTTTCATTAGGGCATGCTTTCCTTAGAGACCCTTTATCAGGCTGGGCAATGCAAAACGTGGAGCATGAGGAGAAAAAGAGACATCTAAAAGTCATCCAGGCTTGAATTTTAGATTTTTCTGCTTCCCCCTTCCAGTTCTGTAATGCCTAGCCTGATGTTCAGGAGGACTTGAAGACTCATTTTAAAAACTGTTTTAGTGGGCCAATAAATCCAACCCTGGTTTTGGATTTTATGAATTAAAACAGTGAAATCTGGAGCTAGATAGCAAATCCATCAATTTCATTTTCTCTCACATTGAAATTTAAGGCTGTCGAATCTTATCCATTTGAAGACATTTTCAGATTTTGTTGAATTCTTCTAAACGATGGAGTGAAATGCTTACCCATCCGTTTTGATCTGTTTTTCTTCAGTGTGTCCATAGAACAGTCTGCAGAAGGGAATGTTGTCATCAAACTGGTGGGAAAATAAATTAACCAGGCCATTCATGCCTGGGATGGCTGAGATGAGTTGTCAATGGAGATGCATCAAGAGATGGCACACACCATTGAAGGATAGATTGACTTGACAAGATGCAGGACTTTGGAGAGCAGAAGCCATGGCATAGCAAAGCTTCTGCTGAATCACATGAGACAGTTTGAGACCATCCTAGGACTTGTGAGGGCTTGAAGGCAAGCAGATTGGAAACTGTCTCTTTCAGCCCTAGAAGAATGTAACAAACTTGTTTTCAAGCAACTGCATAATAGATGACTGTCTGATTCCATTGGGGCTTATTCTGCAGAGACATGTGGGCATGCTCTCAATGCATGTCATTTCCACCTTCTCAGTATCCACCAGAAGAGAAATGAGCAAAATTTAGCTTCTAGATGTACGTCTGCAATTTCTAGCATTGTTTACCATTAGAGACACTGTCTAGAGCTAATGGGGAGTTGCAGTCCAGCAACATGGAAGACAAAACACTTCGTCCATTCCTGCACTAGGGAATAAATCCGATTGGAAACACCAGGATTTACTTGTGTGGAAACATGCAGAAGATTGCTAAAACAGATTATATTCCAGATGGTGTCAACGCATGTCACTGGGGTAGATGATGGAGCCATTGGAGTTGGAAGACTCCCTGTTTCGGTCCACACCTGCCAGAATCCCCTGCCAATGGGGTTCATGTGGCTGGAGGGCTTTGAGAATCAGAGTATTTAAAAAAGAGGGAACTTTCCCAAGCCTTGTGGGGAATCATCAGTCCTACTAAATCTTGTCTTATTTGTGAAACCACATTCTCACAAAGGATAATGGTCCCACATAGGAGAAAGAATAATGTTTTCTCTGTGACAAAACAGTGATAGGAACCCCACTCTATGGTCATGTTAGCTGACTGCCCTCTGAGTGAGTAATGTTCTGTTCTTATGTTTTAATTGCATTTTTGTTTTTATCTTGGTTTTGCTACTGAATGGACCTTTCTGGCAGAAACTTGGAATATAAATTTAATGAATAAATGTAATAAGTAATATAAATAAGAAAAGCAAAGATGAGCAGCAGGATTTAAGTAAAATGTTCTCCTTTCTCAAGCTGGGCAATGAAACAGGCATATTCACTTTTTTTTAATTCGCTGTGTTTTAAGAGAAATAAATAATTCTCATCCAGTTTTTTCTTTGACTTTCAGGCATTTTGTTCCTGTTTAAGCCCTAGCCCTTGGAGGTAGACCGGTTGTTACTTTGAAAGACTGCTTTCATCTGTAGTTAGTGAGTGAGGAACAAACCATGCCTGTCCTTTCTGAAGATTCAGGTATGGAACTTTCTGCTACATTAATATGTTCTCTAACAATGTTTCTGTTTTAAGGAAATTGGGAGAGAGTCAGTGTGGTGCTCTGCTTAGAATGCTGGAATGGTAGCAAAAGAAATTCAGGTTCTAGAACCCACTGAATGACCTTGGGCCAGGCACACTACTTATAAAGTTTATGAGACTGAAGTGAGGAGAGCCAGGTACATTGCCTGGAATTCACTGTAGGAAAACAAAAAAAATGTTATAGTATCTTATAATTATCAGGATAAATAAGGAAGAAAAGGAACCTGACTACAAAGTGGAATATGCTCAGTCTTCATTAGTTAGTTTTAGAAATACATGGGTTCTCTGTTTTGACCCTAAAAATGGTTTCTTTATGCATCAAGACTTATTCAAGCATGTCTCTTTTTCTTTTTTCCCTTTCCTTCTGGAGGCTGGATAGCAGTGATGCACTGCCACATGCAAAGCTATCTCCATGATTCTCCTACCATTATGTTCTTCTTCCCTCATTTCCTGCTTATTTTACCTTGAATGATAAGCTCTAACAATCTGCACTTTTCATTTGTCATTATCTTGTTTCAAAATATTATGATTTCTTGGATGTCATTCATTTGTTCTAGTACTTATTCATTGGTCACTTTATCAGTTCAAGACACCACATTTCAAACACAATTTTTTTATAGTAGCCTATTAAGATCCCAAATTTCCATGCCATACAGAACGGAGAATCTATAGCAGTCTCACATGTCCCATTTGGGAATATGTCCTGTCAGTACAGAAGTTGTTGTTGGTTAGTCGTTTAGTCGTGTCTGACTCTTTGTGACCCCATGGATCAGAGCAGGCCAGGCTCTCTTGTCTTCAGTACAGAAATACTGAGTCATAATAATCTTAGAACTGCAGTGTTGAAAGGGGTCCTGATCATTGAGTCTAACCCTGTCAAGGAGGTACAATGGGGAATCAAACTCCCAACCTCTGGCTCTTTAGCCAGATACCTAAACCACTATCCAGCAGTGTTAGCAGGAGTGACGTAAAACCAATAATAACCATATAGTTAAAAGTGGATATAATGGATAGCCCATGGACTGAGGTAGGAGTTCTCTGCTCCCCTCTGATTGCAGGCTGTTGCTTGGTAAAACAGAGTGAAAATACAACTATGCAATTCAGCAGAAGGGATAAAAAGACCTCAGTGACACCAGAATTGGTCCTGAGCGGTTCTAATGGGGGTGGGTTGGAGGTTTTTTTGCATTCAAATCATCCTTTGCATCATGATTGAAAGAGTTCTCGCTGTTTATCTCCTGGAGGAATGACAGACCAGGTCCTTGGAAGATATTCTCAAGTCTCAGATAGATTCACATGGTGAAAGGCACTCTTCTCTCTTCTGTGGGTGGTGGCCCAACAGATCAGATGCATGGTTATCCTCAGCTGGCAGATACTCTTCTGTTTCTTGTATTTTTTTTTAATCTGTACATCCTCTAGCTGAGGATAACACTTCATGCTCCAGTTAGTCTATTTGTCTTCAAGGTGCCATAAAACTCAAGTGTGTTCTAATGGGCTGTCACCTATAATAATTAGTCTCTATGTTTGATCCCTCCTCTTTGTCCCGTTTTCTTCTTTAACTAGAGATATTAAAGATTTTTTTAAAAAGCAGCTGCAAATATTTGTGCGTGTCAGAGAGAGAGAGAGAGAGAGAGAGAGAGAAAGAAATTCTGGATTAAAGCATTAAAAATCATTGGCCAGAATCCTGTTGTTTCCATGTCCCGGCTTATGTGGAACTGCATAAATTACAGCAGTGAATTACTCAATTTTCATTATTGGGTTTTGTGCCTTATTGTTACTTGTGTACAATAAGAAATACCAGCAGAAATTCCTTAAGAAGCACAAAACTGCCACTTCTTGAGTGGACCTACTCTAGTTGTAACTTACTACTGGATTTCAGTCAATGTTGTCCAAACCACAGTTTGAACAATAGAACCCAAATGTTTGTACAGTATAATGTATATTCAAGCTTTGTAAGGTAGGCCACTTTTACGGGCTGTCATTCAATTTTAAGAAATATTGGCCTCCTAAATCTTACTCCTAAGAGCTACAGCTGAAAGGATGATTTGAAAGCAGAAAAACAAAGATTCTTGTGACATGGTTAAGATGAACATATTTGATTTATTTGAAGTTAACTTTATTTGATGTTGACGTATCCTACTTCTTCAGTTCTATCTGTATAAATGCAAAATAATTCAGTTCACCCCTCTGTTTGCAAGCCATACAGTGATTGGGCCAACCTTTGGTAAAATTTACTTTTGTGATGACAGATTCTAGGGCCTGCAGCCAGCATGGGATTTTTAGTCCAAAAAGGTAATGTTTTCAAGTTCTGAACTGTGCTGAGCTTTAGCTGGTCTAAATGGCAACTTCAGCACAAGGAAGATCAGGTCTGAGCTGCAAAGTTTTAAATGCCAGGATTGTAGCTCAAAATCCTCATTTGTTTGGAACCCATTCTTTGAAGTGTCTTGTCTTATCCTCATCTCCTATTTTCCTGTGCAGCTGTGTTAGAAGTTGCCTACAGGACTTGGCCTAAAGCTCTTGCAGTGCTTTGTAACAAGCTAATGAATACCCCAGTGAATTCTTTGTGTATTTGTTCTTTAGGTTTGCATGAGACCCTTGCCCTCCTGACATCACAGTTAAGACCAGACTCAAATCACAAGGAGGAAATGGTGTTCCTTAGAGACATCTTTAGTGAGAGAAGTCTCAGCTATTTAATGAAGGTAAATATTTTGGATTTGAGGCAAAAAAACTTTTACTTGGTCTTGTTATTCTGGTTACTTGACCTTGTCTTGCATTTAATCCTAGAATCTCTTTTTATTACCAGAGCTAACATTGAATTTTGATGCATATAAGTAAAATGGAAATGCACAGAATTTTGATGTAGCATTTTCAATTTGATCATGTGCAGAATTTTTTATTTGCTTTCCTGTTCCCCGCCACCCAGATCTCTTGGGTTAGAGCTTGAGAAAGTTATGCTTTTAGAATTCTGAGAATACCCAACTGTGTTCTGAATTCTAGAAGCTATCATCCAGAAATGAAGTTTCCAATCTCTGCATTCAATTGGCAAAAGTAGAGTCTGGCTCAAGTACTAACCCAGCTGGGCTTTATTAGTTGCTGAGATAGAACTACACCAGGCACTATCCATCTGTCCTCCTGATATAGCCCTGGCTTATACATTCTCTAGGACCTCATGTTAGCTAAGAATGTGATCGTGGAGCAGCAGTGCAGGCCTCCTCCCCTCTATCACATAATAGTCAGATTCCTTTTGGAAATATACATTGGCATATGGTTAAGGGCCTAAACTGCAGCAGTGAATTACTGTCAATTGATGAGTTGCCATTTGAACTCCTAGTCACATGCCAGTTGCACAACTTGGCATATGACAGGGCATTAATTTCTTGTATAGAGTGGAACCTCCATATAACACCCTTGAGAAGGGGTGCATGGGTTCATTTAAAAAACAAACACCAAACAAATGAGCTTCCCTGGTTTATTTTGTTTATACTGTGAAAATGAAAATTTTCAGCCGATGAAAATTAAAAATCAGTTTGTTTCTAATTTGTCACATTAGTTTCTAATGGTATGAAAAACTGAAACACTAGAACTGCATCAGCAGTTCATAGGAAAGTTGCAGGGAGGATAGAAAGAGAGAAAGCACAGAAGCTTCTGTTTTGTTTAAATATCCATTGTGCTGTGCCTCTACACCTTTTAAATTGCTTGTAAAATGGGGATTCTTTTCCTAATCAGTTTGAAATTTTCCAGGTCTCATGGCTATGGGCTGTGTATATGTTGTTTAGATGGAAAGTACTGAAATTACAAGTAATAGGATGCTGGTCAATTCTCTAGTTGGAATTGATGGAACTGGGAATAATGAATATCAGTGAACAACTGAAAATGAAAAAATGAATTTTAATGGCACTTCTTGCCAGTAAGGGTCTGCAGAGTGCTTTTCAGAATTTAAATACCATTGCTTAAGTTAGTAACAAAACAATTGATAAACATACTGCTGGAAGGTACTGATTGTTTGGGGAAAATTATTGTACTGCTTTTTAGAATTCCTGTATATTAAAGGGGGTGGGTGGGAAGTGGATGTTGACTGAAAGGGAGTGACTTCTGTTATCACTAGTAGTTCCAAATATTTGGGTGATGTCCATGATCAACTGTGTTGTTGTTCACATAGCACCAGCAGCAGTGCTTGGAAATTTTACCTTTTGGACTTCTGCTCCTAGACTCTCCCAATCAGCGTGGTCATTGAGACCATTAAAGTCCTCTGACTGAAGGATTTTGGAAAAACTATTCCAAAAAAGTAACTTTTCTGGGATCTGGTCAATAATGTGCTGGGAGCTGTGCAGAAGTGACATATTCTTTGACCCAGGGTCATCTACTTGAACTCCGGGACAAACAAACACTGTTAATGCTGTATGTGTTCAGGATTGCCACTTTCTGGAAAGTCAGGGAAAGTGAGGTAAAATGGTCTGAAACCAGGGAAAGTCAGGAGAATTGTGATTAAAATATGTTAAAGCAGTGGATTTTTGACCTGCTGCTGCAAGAGCATGATCTGTTCTTGTGGCAACTGGAATAGAGAAGTAGCAGAATACAAGTAAAACTTAATGATGCCCTTTCCCTGCTCCACCTTTTCTCAGCTCCATCCCCAGGATCAGCCTAATGTGTTTGTTGAGCTTTGTCCCTGCATAATTTCCAAAGTCTGCCTGTAGCATTTGCAAAGCAAGTCTAGTTTAAACGGTTAGCAAGATACAAACTTTAAACATCTAACTGTTTTCCTCCCTTACTGCTAGTACTGCATTTAACATACATATAAATATAAAGATGTTTTTGGGTCCTGCTTGTGTATGGAATTGATGTTTTGTCTTCTGCTAAAATGTTATGTCATTTGTTAGCATTCAGAGTTTACTTGAATTGAATTTTGTATCTTGGTGTAATTTTTGGTGCAATTGTAAAACAGATGTTGCTGCAGTTAATGTTGAAAGAAGCTGGTGTTAAATCTCTTACTTTGACAACTATTTTTGCAGTTGAGACTTGTGTAATTGTAGAGTGGAATATTTCATTAAGACTTGGGTTAATGCAACATGACCTATTCATTTTTTAACTTGTGGTTATATTTGAATGGTGGTCAGGGAAATTGACAAATGTTGGTCACGGAAAGTACTGTAAGGGAAATGAAAAATAAAATTTCAGTGGCAACCCTGGTGTTGACGTGTAGAGATCATAGATTGAGTCTTGGAGATAGGGTAAAAGAGGAGAATCCACTAGGAGTGGAGATAGAGGCACAGTGAGGACAGAGTAGTCCAGAAAAGGATTTGTTGAAGGAGTGAAAGTGATAAAAATGGTTTTACAATCAGAAGAGGAAAGGGTTCAGATTGACATGATATATAGGCTGACATACAGATACTTTTGCAAGACAAATGGACCACTGACATATGAACTACAGTGGTGCCTCGCAAGACGATTGCCTCGTGGGACGATTAATCCTCAAGATGATAAGTTTTTGCAATCACTGTTGCGCTTCACAAGACGATGGTTTCCTATGGATGATTTTCACAAGACGACGATTTCCCCCCATTGGAACGCATGAAATAGATTTCAATGCATTCCAGTGGGGAACCGCATTTCACAAGACAATGTTTTCTATGGGTGATTTTCGCAAGACAATGATTTTTCCATTGGAACGCATTAAATAGATTTCAATGCATTCCAATGGGGAACCGCATTTTGCAAGACAATATTTTCGCAAGACAGCGTTTTTCACGGAACGAATTAACATCGTCTTGCGAGGCACCACTGTAATGGGATATAACAAAGTGTATGAAAAAGAATATAAGGAAAGAAGATGGGAACTCATGATAATGATTACTTGTTATTGTTGCTGTGGTGATGATGGTGATTATGAACCATCTGCATTCCCACATCCCCCTACATGTTAAGTTCATCTGAAGTTCTTTGGTGTCTTCCACCAGCTAAGGTGTGGTGGGTGGTGACAAAAGATATTTTCCCCCAGTGGTGGCACACATTGACTTTGAAATTCTCAGAGGTTGGAAAATTTGATTTTTCAGACTACATCTTCAGAATCCCAGTAACTAACCGTATTGACTCTAAATTTCTTGGCACCTTGGTTCCAAAAAGGTAACTTTTCCAATTTCTGGAGACACTGTTCTTCAAGAGAATGATGCCCACTGTGATGCAGAGTACTCTTCCTTTTCCCAGCCCTTTTGGATTTTGTGTTGTTTGTATTCCAATTTTTTTTGGTGCACTATTATCAATTAGCTATTTTTTTAGCTTTTAAAAGCAGCTATTTAATATATTAAATGTTTTCGAAGCATTCCTGATCACATGACTACAGAAGAACATATAAATCTTAATAATCCCTGAATACTATTTCTTTATCTTGTGCCTCTGGAACTGTCAGAAATATAATAAACAATCAGCCTAAAAGAAACAGTGTACAGCAGCACAACAACAAAGGACTACCAATAGGTAAAACAAAAATGTGCACACAATAAAGGGAGGAGTCTGTTTGTGGTGCTGCCTTTACCTCAGCAGTAAGAAGAAGAGCTTCTCGTGGGGACCACCAACCCTTGAATGTTTCATGTCTTATACCTTTATGGCTCTCTTCTGTTTCAGATTCATGAAAAGCTCTGTCATTATGAACGGCAGAGTCCAGTTCCAGTTCTGCACAGTGCCTCGGCTCTAGCTGAAGATGTAAGTCTCTTCACATAGTATGTACACTATGTTTAGGGCTAGCACTAGAGTAAGCATTGCTGGGTACATGCTGATACCTCACATCTAGAGGGTGGCATGAACCTGAAAAATGGTGGTTTGCGATGGTTTGGGGTTAGCCACAAACCACCATGAACCAACCGGAAAACTGAATTGTGCACTGCTTCAGTTTTCAGTTCATCCCTGGTGGAGAGGGTGTTGCCTTGTTCTGTCACACCACTGTTGGTCCCTCTGGAACCCGGGTACTGCCTGTGTGCAGGTGCCTGAACTCCAGTTGATTGACCTGATCAGCTGAGGAGTGAACGAATGCACGAAAGGCAGTGATCAGTTTCCCTTCCAGGAGTCTGGGTGCTGCCTGTACACATGCATGTGATCCCCAGCTGGTCAACTGATAGGCAGGTGCATGGTCAGAGACAGCAGGCCTGGCTTCTGGAAGGGAAGCCAGGCCACTGTCTCTGAAGATATCAACGGTGGAGGAATTGGTGCCAGGATCAGGTTGGGAGGTGACGGGGACAGCGAGATGGGGGTTGGCGGGTGTCCATTTTGTTGAAGCAAAATGAAGCACCAAGAGGAGAAACGTTTGGTGCTTCATTTCCGTTTGGCAAAATGGGTTGCACAAACCAAACCATGAACACTTTTTTTCTGGTTCATAGTTTGGTTCGTACCCATCTGTACTCTCATGCAATAGTGGTCCCTGTCCAGACTGCTACTCTGAAGAAACGTCTGCTGAGGCAATATGGTCCTTGCCAGTAAAAAAGTTTTCCAACTCATGCTCACAAGTGTCTCTAAAAATATATCTGCACTTTATTTATTTTTTAGACTGCAAAGTCCACTGTAGGTGGTCCACAACAAAATAAGTCAGTAATAACAACATTAAATAGTAGCAACATAAACATCCCAGTAATATGAAAATAAACAATAAATATATGTTAATCAATAAGCTTTTAAAAAGCAACGCAAAGACATGTAATGAAAACATTCAAGATGGCAGTTTTACAGTTTTAGCAGTTTAATTCCTCTTTAACTCCCATAGCTGTGCCCTGCAGAATCCTGGGATCTGTAGTTTGGAGAGGTCCCCAGAATTCTGTGCCGTGGCATACTAGAGCTCTCCGGCAGAGACTTCTGAGTACTTCACCAAACTACAAATCCCAGGATTCCTTGGGATACAGGCATAGTAGTTAAAGTGGAATCAAATTCCTATAAGTGTGTAGTATACATATATCCTCAGTAGTCCTTAATAAAATCATAAAGGAGCTTCTAGAACTTAAGTAACCACTTCTAATGTCACATGTTTATTGGAATGGTGATTTAAGTACATAATGTGAGGTACAAAAGGGCTTCACATTTCTTTCTGTGTCTAAGAGTCACATTGTAACAGATCATGTGTTAAATTGGTATATTTTCTCTTTAAACATACAATTTTTTTCTTCCTGGGTTGAAATTTATAGCCACCCACAACCCAAACTTTTCTTCTGTATTGTGTTAGAAGCTGACCTCTGCCCTCAACTTGTTGGTGCTGCAAAGGCAGTCCTCTTGTTTTTACTTCTTAAAGAATGAGAGTCTTACCAGACAGATTGGGCAGATAAGCTTGCTTCTTTGATGACTTCCAATTTATTGGAGACACTGCTGTCCTTGACACATCAGCAACACCACCTCCAATCCAGCCTACTCTTTTCTTTCTATACATTTTAGATCCATGGGGAATTGTGTCACATGAATTGTCATTGTTCTGCCCAGTTCCCTCAGTCATCATTTATCATATATTACTTTAATTGTATTTAGCCATAGGCCATCACAGTAGAACACAGTAAAACATAGGGGAATAAAACTACAAAGAGAACAATATGTTCGCTCAGTTTGTATTCTCTTTTAATATTACACACTATAATTTTCTCATCTTGGCTTTTAGTGCATGTAGAACACTCTTACAGATTGCTGGGAAGTAACTGACCACTTACATGCAATTAATTCCTTTTCCCTAGTAGCAAGAATATAAGTACATTACAGCTGCAAGTTAATCAGGTAAAACTGCACACATTGTTCAGTTCATGTAACTTTTACAAGAGACTCTCTTTTACAATCAGTATGGCCTCATTAAATGATGAAGGGGTACTGATTCTAGTATTGGCTTGTTCTACTCTTCATGCTGCTGCATTCTCGTGCTGAGCTTATTACTATAATACCTTTAAAATATAACTTTCAGTGATCTGCCCATACAGCTTGTCCCTCTTCTAAAGTGTTTTCCCTTTGATGGGCTTCCTCTCTCTCTCTTGCTCCTGACTCTCCCTCCCCCAGGTGCATTCATGTTTCTTGTCAGGCTCACAAATATGAAACTCACTGATGTAATTCTCACAAGGGTGTTAATCCTGTCTGTAGCAATTTAGGCTGCAGGTAGCGATCTACACCCTTTAATTCTCTACATATCAAAAATGGAACATCAGATGGAAGAACTAGGATGGAGCACCTCTCTTTGACATTTGTTGGTGGTAATTCAGACTGGAAAAACTGAGGCCCGAAGAATAAGATACAAATAGCACATTAGAAGTAGGAATTTCTTAAAGTAGAGAGCCTTTTTAAGACACTGCAAGGCGAATGGTAAAATGTTGTTTGAGGATGCTCCACCACAGCCCTGTCCAATACAGAAGAAATCTGCTCCCTTGAAGTCTGCTACAGGCATGATTATCCAGGACCGAGCACAGCAGATGGAACTCTGGGTGCAGCACTACTCTGAGCTATATTCCAGAGAGAATGTAGTAACCAAAGAGGTGTTAAATAACATTGAGTGCCTTCCTGTCTTGGAAGAATTGGACAGCGAACCAACTTTAGCAGAAATAAAAGTGGCCTTGGATTCCCTCAACTCTGGCAAGGCACCTGGGAAGGATAACATCCCTGCTGAAGTGCTGTAAAGAGATCATCACCACTAAGCTGTATGAAATCTTTTGTCTTTGCTGGAGGGAAGATGGAGTACCAGAGGACAAGAAGGATGCAAACATCGTCACATTGTATAAGAACAAAGGTGACAGGCGACTGCAATAACTACCGTGGCATCTCTCTTCTTAGCTTTATAGGGAAGCTGCTTGCCCGTGTTGTGAAGAGACTCCAGGTGCTTGCAGACAGAGTCTATCCAGAATTACAGTGTGGATTTTGAGCTAATAGAGCCACCACTGACATGGTATTCTCCCTCAGACAGTTGCAGGATAAATGTAGGGAACAATAACAGCCACTCTTTGTGGCCTTCATAGATCTCACAAAGGCCTTTGATTTGGTTAGCAGGGATGGCCTTTTTAAAATACTTCCCAAGATTGAATGTCCA